GACACTTTCTTTCAGGCCACAGGGTTGCTGTCTGTCCAACATACTGTAGTTTTTATCTGCAGCATTTTTTTTTTTTTTAATAACAGCCTTTTTGTGAAGTTGATTTAAATTGTGAACAGATTTTTTTTTAATTTACTCTGAAATCAGCAGGTATTATAGATGTGTTAAAAACTTCAGCTGATTGTTTATGACACTAGGGTTCTTACGAAGGATGTGCAGAGCAGCAGGTGCTACACACAGCCAGAAACAGCACAAGTTTTGACAGACTTTTATTAAATCCTAAATGTTATTCTTATATTGTGAGTTCCTCAAATGTGTACAAGGGCGAATAAGAAGGCTGTGTCAGAGAAAAAGTGTAGAAGACTTTGAATATAGTTGTATGGACAACATTTATGATAGTTCTGTGCTAATCATTTATACCTCTTTTTGAATTTTGCAGCATAACTCAATCCATTTGCATTACATTCTGTTAAAATTATCTTTAGGGCTTTTCACACTGTGCTTCATCCCGGGTTATCGTCATTCTAAATCCCACTTTTAAACCTGGGTAATGAAACATTTCTCACTTGTAGTTTAACGGGGTTATCACCGCTTATCACCCGAGGTCATGAAACCCTCTTAATTGATCTTGTGACTCATATTTACATGCTTCGGACAGTCACAGAATCCCTGCACATTGTGTAAACAGTTGTTTCAGCACTTAAAAGGAAAAATATAAAATGGGGATAAAGTCAATTCTAGTGAAGAAGAGACTTTTATTATTACATTTGTAGTCCAAAAAGCCTATTCAGAAAAAAAGAAAATCAGCAATATATCATATGAGGATGTGCAGTGCTAGAGCCATTATGTAAACAGGTTGCGTGCTGCATGTCCAATCAATGACACTGACAGCCCAAATATACAATAAGAACGTTAACCTGGGGTTACAGTGTTAAACTGCAATTTATGAACACCCATGATTAATTATTAACCCCTGAGTAAATTATGAGCAGTGTGAAACATGAAACAAAATAACCCAGAATTCTGTTTACCTGTGGATTAGAATGACCTAGGGATAACTATTACATGCAAAAAGCCTTTTTGTTTCACAAAATAAACAAAGTCCTACAGGTTTGGAACAACATGAGGGTCTGACTTTTCATTTTGGGTGACCTATTCCTTTAACGTTATCTTACTATAATATATGTAACAAAAACTAACTGATGACATGAGACTATATACTGTATATATAAACTATTTTATTCTTGAAAAAAGCAGGACAGTGAAAGTGAAGTGACATGTGGCCAAGTATGGTGACCCATATTGCCCATGGTGACCCAGCCATATTGCTGCGGCGCCCGGGGAGTAGTTGGGGAGCCTTGCTCAAAGGTCTCACCTCAGTCGTGGTATTGAGGGTGGAAGAGAGCACTGTACATTCACTCCCCCCACCCACAATTCCTGCCGGACCTGAGACTCGAACCCCCAACCTTCGGGTTGCAAGTCAGACTCTCTAACCATTAGGCCACGACTGATGAAAAATGCAGGATAATGAAGGCCAGACAAACAACGTCAACATTATTCAGAAAGCTGAGAATATGATGGCTCAGTAGAGCAGATAAAAAAGAAACACACAGAAGACTTCTTCCAAAGCCAACTTCTGCACTGGAGGAGATCCAGGGAGGATCTATCACAGATGGATGACCTGTGGAGATGTCCACATGTCTGTCTGCCTCTCTACCCCTCTCTGCACAGTATGGAAGGAATAAGGCTTTACAATCTGTTCTAAAAGCAGATGAAACATTCTGACTTTCACCACAACTACCAATTCATAGCAAAACTGTATGAATAGTCTCACATAGCCAGATTTCTTACATCATAGTATCAGCCTCACACTGCAGCTTAAAGCAAAACAAACAATGGAAAATAAATTAATCACTGCATATAAAGTAAGAGTTTTAAAGATGGCAGTATGAAATATTAAATGTAAAACAAGCTAGAATTAGACAATGTTGTGTTCAGAGAGGTGTGAAGGAGGGCCCTGTGGGTGTCAGCTGTGCTGGGGTCCCTGCTGAGGGCCAGATTCTGTCAGCATACTACTGTTGATTCCATGTCTCTCTCTCTCTCTCTTCTTTTTTTTTGTGCATACAAGTTTTTGGGGTGCTCATTGTGGGAAAACCCTTGAGTGACAGTTTCTGAGCAAATAACTTATCAATTAAACATAAGGGGTGTGGTATTGTAGTGCTCCAATACAAGCCAACTGATGCTAAGTGTATGCTACGTGCTCAAATAAAAAAATTGTGCATGTCTGAAAGGGTGAATAAAATATTTATGTAAGATATTGCATCTAACTGCACAGCAGGTTCACTGAAAATCTGGAATTTAAAATCTAATTTAAACCTGAAAGCAAACAGAAAGTTTTGAATCATTTAAACAAAGGACAATTATGACACTGAATAAATCTGTGCTAATCATTTATACCTCTTTTTGAATTTTGCAGCATAACTCAATCCATTTGCATTACATTCTGTTAAAATTATCTTTAGGGCTTTTCACACTGTGCTTCATCCCGGGTTATCGTCATTCTAAATCCCACTTTTAAACCTGGGTAATGAAACATTTCTTCATTCAGTGTATTACATTACAAAAATGCAAAATATTTTTTTTTGTAAGTAGACTTTTATACCCCCAGTATTTGACAGATATGTGTAGACTTATAGATGGATAAACATGGACAGACAGGATATCAATAACATTTTCATGAGAATATGGTGGCAGCCTAATCGTATAAACATGTAGCATAAATGTTGTAAGTTCATATCTTGTTCTGTCCATATTGTGAGCATGGCATGGGTCATGACCTGAGAAATCAAAATTCCCTTGATCTTTTGAGATATAAGAGGTCATTGTAATATAAAACATCCTGTAAGTTTCAGAACTCAAAACTTTCTCGTTAGTCTAAAAACAGCTTATATTGAAGCTAATCTGCCAAAACGACAGGTTGTGGAATGTGCCACTTTATGACCTCCACATAAGAAGATCAACGCCTGCTTCTAAATCACTGCCTGTTTAGCCCCGCCCACCGATTCGCTCATGTAGTAAATAACGAGAGAGGCAAGGTCTACACAGAAACCAAATGATAATGATGGCTCCAAAGACAACAAGACGCTGTGCAGTGCCAAGTTGTAGAAAAACACAGTTTTTGCATTGCCTTCCTTCTGATCCCAACATTAGGAAAGACCGGATGAAGTTTATTTTTAATGAAGATCCAAAATACAAATACAAAATACAATACAAAGAAAAAAAAAGGCAGTTCATGACCTCTTTAACTCTGTGTACTTACTATACTATAAAAAACTGCTATATGAAATGTATTGAAGATTGCCTGAAATTGCATGTTTTCTTCAAAAACAATACACATACATTGATCAATAATATTTTAGCATAAAACTTACTTTTAAAGCCATTGACTGCAACTCTGCTTTGATGATAAAAGCCGCTTTTGCAGTGACATTGATACTTGTCCAGCACAAATCCATGACCTGGGATGGGCAAACACTGTGGAAAAAAAAGAGAGGATGGAAATATCGAAACTCTCGGGAAGAAAGAAAAATATACCTGGGATAAGGAGTTTCAATATATATATATATATATATATACATATATGTTTTCTGTGTATATGGTTGCTTGGAAAAAAAAAGTTTTGACGTTGCATTTACATACTTTTTTTTTAATAAATTTTTTTGGATTTTTTATAAAAGGACCAATATATTCTTCTAAAATATATTAATACTGGAAAACAAAAAAATGATGGACACTATGGATGTAGTGGCCTTAGCTGACAGTTAATTTGTTGAAATGCATGAAGTACTTATTTTTTCCCATTTACACTAAAAATAGTTATGCTGCATATACAAAATATATCAGTTTTGTACAATTACTATAGAATACTGTACATAATGTAGTACATCAGAATTTTATTTCATATTACCCATATTCATATGATATAGAACATAATTTTTTAACAGTCACAAATGACCTGCTCTTATCATCCGATCGTGGTTGTATTTCTCTATTAGTGCTACTGGATCTTAGCGCTGCGTTTGACACTATCAACCACAACATCCTTTTGAGTAGACTACAAAATTAGGTTGGCATAATTGGAATTGCATTGTCATGGTTCAAATCTTACTTATCTGACCGTCATCAATTCGTAGCAGTAAATGACGAGATATCATATCGATCACAAATACAGTATGGAGTACCTCAAGGCTCAGTACTACGACTGTTGCTTTTCACACTTTACATGTTACCCTTGGGAGATATCATCAAGAAACATGGTGTTAGCTTTCACTGTCATGCTGATGATACTCAGCTCTATATTTCTTCGCGGCCCGATGAAAAAAAACAAAAAAAACAACAACTGTATAAAACCATGTAGTACCCTGTATTATCAGTACTAAATATAGTACCTACTAGTGATATTTATACTAGAACATTCTTTTTCAACAGTCAGAAAGTTTCAAATCAAATATAGTACCTACTGGCGATTTGTGATTTCAGACGCAGCTACAGTATTATCTTTTCAATTAAGATGCTTTAGTAGCTGCCTCTGTTAGACAGTACACAGCAAGGCAGCTCATAGGTTTTGGAACAGAGAGAAATTCTGAGCCTGTATAGCTTGTACTTTATTGCTTAATTCTCAGATCTGCACAGCTTATTCTGTGTCAATAAAGACAAATGACTAACTTTCTACTAATAGTAAAGAGCCACTGGGGAGGCTGGGCTGCCGACTCTAGAGCTGCAAGCTGTGTTTCTGCTTTCAGCAGGTTCAATATATGAGTAGTGTGAGTTTGACTGAACTGATTTAAACAGTCCTCTGATATATAATATACAAACAGGGACGGTTTTGGCACAGATCTCCTCAGATGTGCCAAGGCATAATTAATCTGAATTAAAGACAGGCTCATTTGCTGAATTCAAAAAGAAAATTAATTCAGTATCTTGAGGTTTCCTTCACAAAACAACAGGTCAAATGCGGGAGTGTGTAATCATAATCCTCAGTATTTCAGACCTGGGTGTTTCATGACTCCAGTCCAGGGCCCAAAGCAGACATGTTGACCCCAGCTCAATACCGATCCACTCCAGCACACACTTAACAAGCTATGAAGGGCCAAAGCCTTCATATTTGAGCAGAACAGCAGCGACATCAGCTTTAATGAAGCATGGAATGGTAGAACACTTACACAAATCCATCTTTAGAGAGAAAAGGGCTCTATTTCTGTCTTTCATGCTTCTATAGGATCAGGGTTTGAAGACAGATAGCCACAGGAGAATGGCCAGAGAGCATTATATGGGCTCACAGCTAAACTATAAATATATAAATTACAAGTCATTTTCAGCAGCATGTTTTGAAGAGGCTACATTGGCAGTAACAGTAAAATATTGTTGGCACACTGTAGCATAAAAGAGTGTTTTAATGACCTAAGTACACTCAGTATGCAGTAAACAGAAGGATGTTATGTGGAGTGAGATTTTTGTGTTGATTATGCACAGTGAGAGCTTAAAATATCATATTTTTAGCTATGTTTGCCCCTGTAATTACAAATTCAAAACACACACACAGACACACACACACACACATATATATATATATATATATATTTATACAACAGTTCGTTCTGGTTCTCAAATCTGATTGGTTGAGAACCATGAGATAT